TAACTGAGAGGAAGAAAGGGCTCTTCGGCATCAGGGGGGGATTCCCCCCCCCCCGATAACTGCTTCAGAGGAGCAACTTTCATCGGGATTTCAGGAAGGCTTCTACTCTCCACTCCCAAGCCTAATATCATCCAGCCTAATGGCTTGCTCTCAGGAGGCAGCCCAGACTCTCATGATCAAACCCCCTGCCCAGCCAACCCTGTTTGCATTTGTGAGATGGGAAATGCATCAAACTTCTCACATGACTCTTACATTTGCAATGTTCAGGATGGGGTATCTTTAAGAATCAATTGAAGACATGGATGTTCCGGCAGGCCTTCCCACCAGACAATTCCTGATCCTCCTCTTCTCTTCTCCTTCTTTGGTTTCCTATCTTGTAACCTTTTTACTATTTATGTTGCCATATCTGTTTATTTTTATTTGCTGATTGTTAGCCGCCTAGAGTGGTCTGAGCTGACTAGATAGGCGGGATATAAATAAAATTAATTAAATAAATAAATAAATAAATAAATAAATAGGTCTGTATATTCAGCATCACCAGCTTACATAATTCACAAAATAATCGTGTGTTTAATGCATGTCCTTTGACAACATTGACAAATCTTGACAACATCATGCATGGCGGTTTCCAGTGCAGGTACCAATTGTTTCACAAGCAGTGCCTGGCAATGGATTATACAGTGGTTTACTTCAACTTTTGGATTTCTCTCTCTCACCAAAGCTGAAAAACCATTAACACGACCCAACATAGCTGGAGCTCCATCAACAGACACAGCAACACAGTCTTCCCACTTTAAATTGACTTCATTAAACTATTCATTAAGTTTATTGAAGATATCAATTCCACGAGATCGCAAGTCAAGAGAACAGAACAACAATTCTTCAATTAAATGTAAACCTTTGTAGCAGACATATACCATCAGCTGCGAATTACTACTAATGTCCGTAGTCTCATCAAGCTGAATAGCAAAGTATTTATTCTCTTATTGAGGAAATAATTTGTTGCCTCACATTTTCTACTAAAATAGAAACTCTTTCTTTAACAACTGTTGCAGACAAGGGCACAGAATTTAGTTTCTTGGCTTCATTCTGACCACACATAATCTCTGCTATTTTCAAAGCTGCTGGTTTAATCAAATCCTCACCAATAGTATAAGGTTTTTTGTTCTGGGCAATCAACCAGGACACTTCAAAGCTAGCCTTGGATGATGAACATTGATTGAATGTACCTCTCAAGTTGCTGTCCAATCTTTGTCTTTTGACAGACATTTCTAAATTTACAAAATATTCCTGCGGTTTTGAAGCCAGATGTTTCTTCAATTGACTCTTCTTGAAAGATTCTGCAGTCAGAACTTTCAAGCAAACAACACACTGTGGCTACATTATTCCGTTGTCATCAATTTGGGTAAACCATAATCCAGAAATTCCTCCTGATATATTTTTTTTTTCCTAATTGATGTCATCTGAAGGGTAAAAAAGACAGTGATTGGAAAAGTTGTAACCCTGGCTGCCAGGCTATGCACCAAACAAGCAGGATATATAATCAGTATCAAGTGGGCCTTAGAAAGCCTGGCTAACAACAAGGCCAGTGGAGGTGATGGCATTCCAGTTGAATTATTTAAAATCTTAAAAGATGACGCTGTTAAGGTGCTACACTCAATATGCCAGCAAGTTTGGAAAACTCAGCAGTGGCCAGAGGACTGGAAAATATCAGTCTTCATCCCATTCCCAAAGAAGGGCAGTGCCGAATAATGCTCCAACTACCATACAATTGCTCTCATTTCACATGCTAGCAAGGT